ACAATAGAGTCTAAGATAACTAATAAAAGAATGACAACCATATCATTTTAATCGATTATTAATCAGAAAAAAATCGATTAAAATCTGATTTTTCCCGTCATTTTTTTTACATGGGAATTGCCTCCAATGCCAGAAGCAATAGTACCAGTATGTACATTTCCACAACTATAAATTTAAATATTCAGAATTAATTTCTTTTTTAGGGACCTAGTCTCAATCCTTATTCAACACTACCTCCAATTGGTGGTAAGTTACATGATTTTTTTTGTACTTGAACGATGATTTTTATGATCAATTAATTACTTTTTAGGTACTAACGATGGTGCTCGTAGTGAAGCTCGAGGTAGTCGTAGTGTACGTGGTGCTGATGGTGCTGCTAATGTACGTAGGGCTGATGATAATGCTGGTGCTAATAATAATATACGTCATGCTATTGCTAATGCTGGTGCTAATGTTAATGTAGGTAATGCGGGTGCTAATGTTAATGTAGGTCATGCTGGTGCTAATGTTAATGTAGGTAATGCTGGTGCAAATGTTACCGTAGATGATGCTGGTGGCAATGCTGGTGTATATGATGCCAATGTTTGTGGTGTTTTTACTGATGATAGTGTTTGTGATCGTGTAAGTTTGAAGTTTTTAATTGAGAAAATAAAAAAGTCAGAGCTTTTCCAAAAAGTAAAGTTAACTAAATCGTTTATATTGTCCAACAAGTATTAATCCTTCGTCAAAATAGTCGAAAGCTAAGTTAATCAGACTTGAATCTAGACCAGCGATAGAATATTTTAGTTACATTATGTATAGCCTTATATTAAATGTCTCTTTTTTTCTTCACTGAGTTTCATCTTTCTAGTTAAATCATGTAGTAATTGATAGAGCTAAATTTGCTCTACAAAACTATACAGGTCAATTCCTTAACAGGCTTGTAGTCGGTACTGTAGATGCGATTAAATCAATAAATATCTTGCTATTTCTACTTTCAAAAATGTTTCTTTAATTATTTCATCCGTCTGATGCATGAGTCGGTATTTCATAAATCTGAGTGAAGACACTAGCGATATTGTGAATGTTCTTAGCGTTAAGCTGAGGGTCTGTGTACTATAGTATCAAATTATACTTATGAATGTTGTTGTTATTTAAGATGATTCTGAGAGATACTAGACAAAAATAAAAAACAATGTGAATGTTTTTCAAAATACTGTTTAGCATCAAAATACAGCAAACCACTCATTATTATAGCTATTGGAGGTACAAATACTTGTGTCATAATAATGGCTTATATACCATTCAATGCAGAGTTGAACATGCTGCAATATGAACTAATTATATTATAGACAATCGCTTTGTAATACAGCCGTTTAGTAAGTAAAGATATTGAAAGAAAAGGAAACTTTCTAGGCTGAAAAAACTAGATTTCGAGTTTTTCGATTCTATAGTGGGATGAAGAAGAAATGTGACCTGTATAGTTCTGTAGAGCAAATTGAGCTCCATCAATTGGTATATAACTCAATTTGAATAGTGAAAAGTTTATAACCTAAAATTTTCAAAAAATTATAGGTAAATTTTTCACCCTTTCTTCAGCTGCTATCGTGGATGTCTGTGATCCAACAACCCTAGTGAATCAGAGATAAATCGTTAGAATGTAACATTTTGGAATGATCTATCCAGAGCTGTCGCGAGCGGGGGCGATCCTCCCCAATCTTGAATAATTTTCGTTTTTTTCGTATCAAAATTTGAGCAGTTTTCATGTTTTTTTGCTCACCAATTGAAAACAGTTCTTTACGTCTCCCAAAATCAGTCTTTTTAGCAAAAATTTTTCAAACGAATTTCCAAATGATCGACTCTCTCCTCCCAATATTTCTGGTCTCATGACAGCCCTGGATCTATCATAGATAAGGCCTGAAATTCCTAGGGCATTAAATCCAAAATTTGTTGACTCCCATGTTTTTAAATATTCGAAAATGTTTGATTTTTTCGTAGAACGTCTGTTAAATACTAGAGTTTGATATCTTATTACGTAGTATTTTTTCTATTTCAAGTCAAATTGAAATATATTGTGTAACTTTTTACGTAAGTTCAACGATTGATGGAAGAACTTTCCATCGTTTTTTTCTCTGCCGTACATCTCAAATATTCTGTGTGTTTTTCTTTCACAAAGGTCAATTTTTTTTCTTTCCTTCATGTTGTATAATTAGTTGTCTAGGCAACGACCACGTTCAATTGATAGAAAAGAAAAATATAGCGACGACGAGATTAGTTCATTTTTGACTTTTCAATCGTGAAAAAAATATATAAAGCTCGTTATGAGCACTGCAATACTTCGTCGAGTGATCTGTTGGCGCTATGTGAGTGTTTCTAAACGAGAAACTAAGCACTGAGAAAGCCATATGAATATTTCATTTGACTAACAAAATGATCAATTTTTTTCTCATAAAACCAATTAATGTTGTCTAATAAAAATTATTTTTTTGTTTACTACAGCAACAATCACAACAACAAATAACTCAACAGCAAATAATCCTACTTCAGCAACAACAGGCTCAAGAAATTGTCCTACTTCAACAACAACACGCTCAACAACAGGCTCAAGAAATTGCCCTACTTCAACAACAACACGCTCAACAACTGGCTTCACTTCAACAACAACTCAATCAAGCTGAAGAACTAGTCCCAAACCAACAACAAGAACATTAAAAAAAATTTTATATAATTAAAAAAAAATAAGATATATAAAACATCTATGAAAAAAAGTTAATAAAACAATCAGATAGTGTTCTATGTTGTACCTTGTTCTCTTTCTATTCTGTTCTCTTTCAACTAACTAACATTCACAGTACATGGACTGTCATTCATGAACATTTATCATTTGATAAAAATATAACACAACTGAAATTTTTTAAAATCAATTGAAGCAGGCACTTTATTACATATAATGACTGATAGCAAATTTTTCACAATGTCAGTTTTTAGCCTAAACTAGACTCAAACAAAGATAATTGATAGATGAGCCGTTCGAAAAGGATTTTACAGCTTTCCACGTCGTTAAATATTTTTAAGCTATTATATCTTATAGGAAAAGTCTGAAAATCGATTAAACATGAAGACTGCATTCCGGACCGAACTGTTTCGGGATTGTCTCCAGAAAAATCCTGAGACATCAAAATGAGAGTACGATTTTCAAGTTTCATCGATTTTCGAAGTTTTACTGATGTAACTAGTTCATATAAAGAAGTGAACCAAGCATTAGTTACTGTCATGAATCATGTTTTAATTATGCTTCTAAATTTTCTTCAAAACGTAAAAGGAGTTGCAGCAACACTCTTAAATGATGCATGTTAATTTAGAATTGTATTCGATCTTTTCTTGTTTGAATTTGCTTTTCAATAAAAGGTTGCTATTTCTAATAGAAGTCATCAAGCGAAATCTTGACATTTTGCTACATATACTTTCTTATACAAGTCATATTTAAGATTTATTCTAAACACAATTATTAACTGATCTATACTGATGTTTTGAATCATAGTATCATTGAAAGTCTTAAGACTTATATCATATAATATATTTTCTGACGGTGAATAGATCAAGAAAAGTCACTCGATCCTTAGAATATACTGTTGTTAAAATTAGATGTCAGCAGTTGACTTTTGTAGACAATCGTACATTGTAGAGATGATTTGTAGCTGTTAATGCACTGCCTATTTTTACAAAAGTTTCTATTACGAAGACTTCATTTTAGCTCTTGAACGGTAAAGACCCTTAGTTGTACCTGTGCAATTTTTGTACATCGATACTTTTCGTCGCTTTTGCTGTTCAAATTACATAAAAGAACTTTATTCTCACTAAGATGTTTATTGATTGCATTTTGTCACGAATTACGAAGAACATTTTGTTTGATACAGTATGTCATGCCAGTCAGATTTTATTTTATAGCGACGTTTACTATGTTATATGTGATATCAGCTAAATAAATAAAAAACAAATGAATAATCAAATTAAATCTAGAATACTTATCGCAGAATATGCCACAGGGGTAGATGCATCTATCCCTATAGTCTTAGAACTTGTATCAGATAAGCAATTATATCAAATGACTGAATTTATTTTCTGGATAAATTAGATTGTTGCTACAATCGAGAAAAATAACAGAATGACGATTTTCAGATTGATAATACTTCAAAGAACAAATCATTCATGTCAATTAAGTTTACTAAAGAATTTTAACTTGTAATGCTTTATTGAGGTTCATTCTTTCAAAAGAGTGAATATCTTTTTTTGAGAGCACAGACATGTAGTACATGATCTAACAACTACAAATTGTGGGAAGATCAAGCCGATCTTTGACTAGGCGTGGTCTTCTCGATTCTCATGTTGAATAAAACACTGCTAAACTGATGTCTTTTATTTCTTATTTTGAAATTCTGAATGGTTGAAGGTAACACTATGCTACTTTCTTTGCCACTGTTTCCTAGTATAACTTTGTTAAGTCAACTTTTGCAAGTATTATTTACATACTTCTAACTAAAATAGAAGACACTGACTATGACGTATTACACAAAGGATAATTAATCTATTTTGAACTATCAAATACTTTAATTCATGTCGATCATATAAGTCAAGCAGTGCCTACACAGAGTTATGTTCTAGAAAACATATGAATTTACACTAACAAGGTCATCATAAATAAACTGTAAAATTAGTAACATTCAATTAGACGTTGTTGGGAATCATGTGAACTTTATTTTTTTTGTTTAAATAAAAATTTATTACTGATAATCTTCTTTTCTTTTCTTATTGATGTGATATTCATAACTAAATTCATTTGTTTTTCCATAGCTGCAATCGTATTACGTGTTCTTTTTTTGAGTCAATTACTTTTCCTTTATATACTAAATACACAAAAGATAAAAAGTGCCTATTCTGAACAGAGAATACATGAGAAGAAAATGAATTATATATTCTATATCTAAGTATAACATCAAAACTACTGAATTCAAATTTTAACTGACGTGAGCTTCGACTTGACACAATACTAAAAGTAATGAAGTGCTTGGATAAATAGAATTGATTCATTTTTCTTCTATCCTTTTCATTTTATTTATTACACACACTAAAAAAACGTAGAAGATAATGAACAAGTAAACAGACTTCGAGTATAGAAAAAAAAATAGTTTCTCAAATTTCCTGAGAGACTTAATTTGCACGCATACATATATATATTTATATATATATGTTAATGTTTCAATTTCATTCAAATAAATAAGGCAGAAATATCAGATGTAAGAATATACACGCACGAAAAAAAGAATGACAATTAATTTTAAAAAAAAAGAAATTTCATTAATCTGATATTTGTCTATCTGAATAAGAATATTGCTTATTCAAAATAACATCTGACAAAAACTTTAAGGTCGAGTTGTAGAAGACATTGGTTCATAATCAAGCATTTGATCAAGTTCTCGATTAAGATCAGAGAGCATTGAATCAATATCAGACAATGCATTTGTTGTGTCATTTCTAAAGAAACAAGAATAGTTAATTAGAGTATTAGATTCAGGGCACAATCTCCTATCCTCCTTTCTTGGGTTTCTAAAAAGTAGCTCGATCAAAATTTATGAAACTCTCAGAGTAGATAGATCTCGATTGGCAGAGTAAAAGTTGTCATAAACTCAGAGTTTTCACATGCTTCCTTTTATGAGACACAGGGGCCAAAAATGACCTGAAGTTTTCCCGCTGGAAAACAGGTAGAATTTATTTTTTCCTTCGAAAAATATTGTTTCGTTTGCTTAGCAGAACTGAAATACTGGAAACCCTGTCAAAAAACGTGTTTTTTTCCCTAGTGCAAATTTTGTAAGATCTGTTCAAAACTACCAGAACATTATTTTTGAGGAAAGAATATATATACACACCCCGATTTGGGTCTGATTGTCATACAAAAATTTTTAACTCAATCAGTCGAAGCGTTTAGAAGAAAAAGAGGAAAGCTTCAATTTTTCTCTAAAAAATTTGATTTTGAGAGAAACACAAAACAACGTAAAACGTCATTTTTTCATGCATACTTATTTATTAATGCACTTGCAACGTAGCTAGGAGCTGTAAAACGTGATTCTTTGTATAGGGAATCTCTAAAGTCGATATTTTTAAGGATCTAGATAAACGTGAAAAATTTTTTGTTCATATATCATTCGATAGAAGACACTTCAATGTCGATTTAGATACAAAAAAGTCGAAATCGAAAAAAGTGCATTTTTTGTGGTCAGGAAAGGAGGTCTTAAAGAAAAGTCATTAATAAGGTAATCATCAAGTATAAGACACCGATATAGAGAAGACCTCTAGATTGGAATGATTCTGAAAGGATTCGGAACTAATAAATCTTATTTGCCACGTTATGATAATGATGCTGGTTTTATACCGGAAATTTTGTCTATTAGTAGGTTTGATAGCTTTAAGATTTTCTAAAAATTTTAGTCAAACTGGTTACTTGCTTTTTAACTTATTCAACACTCGAAAACTGCTTAGAGTTCAGAAACAGACAAAAAGAAACAATAGCTTTTGAGCATTGAAGTAACTAACGTATGAGCTTAAAAACAATAAATCATTTGAGGTGATTTCTTCATATAACTTACTTGACTGTTTTATTTTGTTTATCTTTTTTAATAATTTCAATATATTGTAAACGTTTATCTCCTGTTACTATTGATGAATTTCTTCCATTGATTTGTGTTGGTGATAATGTTGAAGTTTTTCGTATTTGTTTATTAGGTGAATGTATATTTGTTGAAATAAATCTATCATTATTATCATAAATAGCTGTTGTCATTGGATACGATGGTCTTAATAAATGTGTATTTGATTGTTCAAAAAATTGTATTGGTAATGAACGTTTCATTGTATCTAATGATGTATTATATAAATTATTATTTTGATTATGTGGTGAACGTTGTTTTATAGTTCCAACATTTTCATTTGCAAATGGAATACCATTTGTTGATTCTGTACTTGATGATAGATTAGCATCACCTAATAATTGTAGATTTGTTTTTTTATTTGTAGTTTGCATAGATTGAGATGAATTTCCATTAGTTACAGATGAATTTGTATCATTTTGTAATGATATTGATGGAAGTTTTTTTTCATTTGAATTTATATTTTCTAAACTACGTGTTCGAGATGATGATAGTAATTCATTATTTAATGGTGAGTTTGTATTATTTGTTGTTGTTGATGATAATGGAGGTGGTAGACGAAATGATGATGTTGCCATAGGACTAACATTTGAAATAATTTTTTGCTGTTGTTGTTGTTTATGAAGAAGTATTTTCGGTGATATTGGAGGTTTTCGAAGAGTTGCATAATTTGATGAATCACCATTTGAAGTTATACGTGTTGGTGATAGATGAGATAATTGAATCGATGGTCTAGAAAATAGAAAAATTAGAAATAACAAAAAAAAATGATTTTTCAATAGAATATTTGTTTACTTTCGAATGGCTAATTGTGTTGGTATTATACTATTGTTTTCAAGAGAATTACAACGTTCAAGTGTAGATTTTGTTTGTCGTATTGGAACACTTGGTCGATTATTTGAACCAGTTGATTGTCTTGATGGTGTTGATGGTAAACGATGATTATTCGGAGATGGTACAGCTGTTGAAGATTGTGATGATGAATTTGTATTAGCTTGATAAAGACCTTTT